CCCTCTTGCACCCATCCGCCTCCCAGATCTGGCACCCCTATCTCCTGCCCCAGGTCACAATCCCCTTCTACCCGAAGTCACATCCCAAACCTCTGCACTCCAGTCCCCTGCTCTAGATCACAACCATCTCCTTCACCCAAACTCCCTCCCCAATCCCATTCTCCCTCCTGCACCCCAGTCCTTACCCCAAGCTCCCCTCTTCACCTAACCTCCATCCCAGACCCTGGAATTCCTCCATTAATATCCTGGAAGAGGCGGCTCTCGACCACTTTCCAAAATCTTGGAGTGGCCCCTTCTAAAAAATTAGTGCCCACCCTTGGCCTAGGGTGTTCAGTTTTGTGTGAGTAGAAAGTTGGCAATCCTGGTTCACAGACTATGGCTCCTTATCTTTAAATCCTAAGAAAAGTAAATTGATTTTAAATGACATACCACAGTAATTCTGCAAAACACTGAGGCCCAAATCCTCAAAGGGAATTAGGCGCAAAATACTTCTAAAGATCTGGACCTAATTAAATCAATACAGGTTTACAGGCTAAAGCCATAATAAATAAAAGAACAAAGAAAAGAAGATTGGAGGCTGGTGTCACCTGAGGACAGAGTTAAGGTTGTTCAACAGCCTGTCAAGTCATACAGTGGGTTAGCTTCAGTCTATATAAGTTAACAGTTGAATTTAATAGTCCTTTGGGGAAAGGAACCAGAAAACATCCTCATTCCTAAGTACCTATAAATTAAGTATGATCAATATAAGGTTCTGACCTCCCCACACAACTATGCAAGGTTCACTAGCCAGCACTGAATCAAAAGCTTCCTTCCTTAGGTGATCATTTTTATACTGTCTCCTGTGCCTTAGGCTCCCATTTGTTAACTTGCTGCACCTGTGCCTATAGCAGAACTTGGGCACTCTAGCTCTTCCAGCCAATAGTAACAAAATAATCAAGAACAGACGTTCTTACAGAGGTGTACATACTTGCCCTTTTCAGAGTCTTTTGGGCAGAATAGAAAGAAAACAAAAGAAAGCAGTCCATAACAATTTACATATATCATGGTCACTCATATCACACAAAACTAAAACATCCAGAACAGGAAACAACTAAATCTATAAGCCAAAAAATAATGCAAGCAGCATCTAAAAAGAGAGACTGAGCATTCTGTGTCACTGTTTTAAACATGGATCATTATCTCTATTTAAAAGAGTTTTTAACCTTCACTACAACTGAATATAAGGGTTATTTTTGCCCAGGAACATATGTACATTAAACACTTGCCCCACCCTTGCCGCTTCGTATGGAACCCCTGGCTTGTACTAAGGTCTATAAGAAGATACACTTGATCAAAATTAATTTTAAATATCCCGTATAAGCATTTTCTATTCTGCAGTGTACTTTCCCACATGGTGAGCCGCAACAGTTTTCAGCATCTAAAGAGAATTTGTGAGCGCAAGTTATTCCAGCTAAGGTTCAGGATCTTATGTATAATAATATTTGTTCCCTATCGATTTGTTTCAAATGGTAATCTGGTAAGAATGTACATGTTTTATTAAACGTTTTTTTGGCTTCATGCCTCTTCCATTTCATGATTTGCAGTCATAACTGTGGAAGACACATTGATCATGAGATCTGTATTTTCCACTGACTGGAAAAAAAAAAGTCAGCTAATTCAACTGTTAAGTATGGATTCTGCAACCAGACCCCCAAATAACGTGTAAGTTTATTCCACATTTTGTACATTCACAGTGTAGAACAGAAAGCAAAATCTGTCCCTGTCATGATCATGAGGGTTAGTCCCCAGGATACTGGCTAAGGGGTTAATTAGGTCCCTTACCTAAACCAGGTGGCAGGCAGCCAATAGAAATGTAGGTAGGAATTTCAAACTGGGACAAAGGAATTTTTGGGTTTTTCCCTCCTTTGTCTCTGGGGCAGTTCCTCTCCAGTTACTGAGAGAGACAGACATATCTCTCTCTCTCTCTCTCTCCATTTTTCACTTTCTGTAAGTAGGGTAAAGTTTAGATAAATCTGATAGGTTTTAATGTTTTATGGTTGGGAAATGGGATCTGATGTCGGTGCACATTTAAAAATTGTTTTGGCTTCCCTTTGTAACTAAGTTCTAGGCCCATAGCAGAGTTTCTCCATGAGTATATTATTTTGCTACTTTTCCATCTAGTCATTATGCTTCCAACAGGAATATTGTGATGGTAATAAAAGTTCTTTCTCTTTTATTTTTATTAACCTGGTATTGGTTAATTTTTGTGTCCTGGTTTGTACTTTGGGGTGAGATTTCCAAAGTGGTCTCTCCCCTAATTTCTTTAGCATATTTTGGTGGTGGCAGTGGAGATTTTATTCCCAAAATCTAGGTTAAGATTTTGGGGGGAAGTTTTATACCAAAGCCCAGTAGATAAGGTTTTGGGATACTTTTGCTGGCCCCCACTTCTGCATTTATCATGCCAGAGTGAGGAAGGAGCCATGACAGTCCCACAACTTTCTTGCCTTAACTTTTCTATTTCAATGTCTATTTGGAGGTGAGCAGGGCGGCATGGTCAGAAGAAAGGGTCAGAAAGATGATTTTAGCAGCAGTGTTTTCAATGGACTTAAGAGCAAAATGAATGTCAGGAAGGCCAAAGATAAGGTGGTCACAGTAATAAAGAAGGAGAGATCATGAAGGCCTAGATGAGAATTTTAACAGTGTGGCTAGAAAGGAAAGGAATCTCAGTAGCATTGTCTCAGCAGAGGGAAGTTCTGAACAAACCTGGTTGTACAATGTGTAGAAGAGAAAGAAAAGGAATCAAGAATGACACCTAGTTTATGGGTCTACATGACAGACGATGCTCATGTAGTTAACAGTGATGGAAAAAGAGAGAATGGGAAGATAAAAAGTTCAGCTTTTGCCATGATTCGCTTAGGTTTATTCTAAGTTTTGTAGGTCACCGCTCATTGAGTGAATTTAAAATATAGCTTCAAAAAACAATGTTCTGGCCTATCCATCCAACCATGTCACCCTCTTTTTGGAAAATGAAAAAGGAAACTTACTGAGAGACAGGCTGAGATGTGTACAAATATATGTATGCTTATTAAAGTTATGTAAATACTCAATTTATATAGATTAATGACTACGGGAGACTGCAACTACATTATCACTGTCAAAAGTAGAATTCTAACCAAATAACGAGCATGTCCTGCAAAGCACACAGCTCCTTCAATCTGCAATTAACTTAAGAGAAGTTGTAGGCATTCAGTACCATGCAAAACGTTAGACCAAATAGGAATAGCCGGAACCTTGCCACCAAGACTGCTTAAAGGTATAATATAAATGAATATGCTCTGTCAGACAAAAATATTTCTCATGCATTATTTGCTGAAGAAATTATGATCTGAAGCAGAAAGATTTTGATACCTATAATGCAGCTGAGAAAATACTTATAATGCTTACAAATATTGATAAGATCTAGTAGCTGTATAGCTATGTCTTCTAAATAACCCTTTGAGAATTAAAATTAAAGTTAGGGAAAAAGCTGAAGGCTTACATATTTAAAGCTTAGTCCTGTCTTTTCCTGTACCTATGTACATTTGGTACTACATGGCCAAATGGGTGTCATAACCTAACTTGCCACGGTCAAGGAGGAGGTGTGAAGGAAGTGAGGGAAGCCACATGTAGTGAACAAGGACATCTGGGTAAGTATTTATTTACTTAGATTTCTGATGCACAAGAGAGGTGTGTATTCATATACATACAATATTTCAATTTGGCTCAATGGCCATTTTAATTATCATTCATATCTTACCAACCAATACAATGGCTCCCCTTAATTTACTACCACAGAGAGATCCTGAATAAATACAGAAGTCGTTGCAGTAAGCATTGAACTTCAGCAGCCTCAGGCACTGTAGAACTGATGTGAGAAGTGAGTTGCTAAGCCTAGGTCTCCACACTGAAAGCTTCATGCCTCCTGCCTCCCTCCCAGATTTAAGCCTGGAATATGTTAGCTTGAGCACTTCAGCTGAGTTCAACCACTGCAATACCACACAAGGACAGAGGCTGTCTCTAAAGTATGCCTCTGTAACAACATATCTGGGCATAACAGCTTACAGGGACTGCCTGAGGGCTGTAGCAGCCTATATAGAGCATTCTTTAGAGTGAAATTGGCAAGGCCAAACCTGAATCTGACCACTTTGTATGCTAGCATCACAGCAGGCAGCAGTGATCAGCCAAGAAGACATCATGTGCTCCTGCCTAGAGCAGAAGCCACACAGAGTTAGATGTACATTTTGGCAGCCTATTTTAAACCATTCCATCCAGTTAGTACAGGATGACTTGTGCCATGTTCACTGGTTACATGCCAATGCACTGGCTTTCCTCAGTCAGTGTTTAGTTCTTATTGTATTACTGTATATCTTAATTGAATTAACACAAAAACCTCAAAATCTCTGGAAAGGGCATGTTCCAGTGAAAAATCTCCATGAGCCATGCCAATTTTGAAGAGCTATTTGTCCTTAGCAAATGCTGACTTATAGAACTGAAAGCATTTAGAGGGCAGCATAACTTGTTGCTTCAACTCATGATAGTATGGCCAAAAATAGCAACAAGACTTGGAACATCAACCTTTTACAAACTAAAGTTTTCCACTTGGAAGGTCAATAAATGATTTTATAGGACAGGATAGAATGTGCAGATGTTAGGAGATAACTGCCACTCTGAGGCATGTGGTTTTATCTCAATAATGCCACAGCCTGCAATATATTATTTTTTGTACAGGAGTGCTTCAGAACATTTGGAAAAGAAGAACACAGTCTGGCAGTGATTTAGGGTATAGCTAGTACACGATAGATATGATTATTGCAACTTGGTTTTAAGGCAGTGACTTATTTGCAGATGGAAGGTATCTAAGTACAGTATTTTCTTTCTTCACCTACAAAAGAGTAAACTTTGCTTAAGGAAAAAATAGCATGTGTTATACAGATAATAACCTGTGCATCTCTAATATGACTAGAAATTAATTGCATACTCACATGGGGAAGTGTCCACAAACACAGGGTCTATGTTATGAAGCAGCTCCTTTCTAGGAGAAGGGCTTCCTTCACTAGAACAGAATTCATTGGGGAACATTAATTTCCTTCTTGAGTCCACTAGAAATCTGCATGTGCTATTTGAATACTTTCTTTTGTTATATATACAGGAAACAATGTTGTTCATTAACTATTAGAAAACCTTAAATTTGAAGTTTACCTACTGATCCAGTAGCTATAACATTTTAGCCTAATCCTATGCCTCCAAGGTCATGTTAGCAGTCCCAAAGAAGTCAGGGGGAGGGGCTATTAATGTTCATAAGGGAGGCAGGATTGGACCTATACATATTAAGCAAATATTACACTGAAAACAACCAACATTCCTTAAGTCCATATCTATGAAAAGCAGCATGCAAGCCACTTAGAAAGTCTGTTTTCATTATGGAAATTAAAATAAAAACATTCAACATACCACACTATTTTTAATAATAGAATAGTGAACTTCAAAGGCAGCAATTCAGATAGCATGTACATTATTTTATTGTAAGCAACAGCATTTAAAACACAAGTAAAGAATCTCTGACTTGAAACATCAGCTAGAACACAAACACAAGTAAGAGAACATTCAGTAGAAATCTTAAGATGTTAAAACTAAATGCAATTTCATTTTGGCAGAAAATGTTGTATAATTCAATATCAATACCAGCTAATTATAGAATTAGTATTTTCCCTTTTTGTATTATCTTTGGTAGATAAACATTCTGAATAAAAATGAAATGATAAATTACTGGTGGTATCAATTTGGAGAGTAAAGGGTATTTATTTGTATTACTTAACAAACCAACCATCTTCAATTAATATATAAGTAGAGTCCAATGTTAAAAATTTAATGTGCCAAAACTACCATGAAGGAAAGATTCCCCCACAATTCATCAAAAATGTTAGGCTTTTAATTTCTCATTAGTATCATACGTTGCACTCCTGATTAAGGAAATGGCCTCAACCTGGACACCATCCAGAAACTGCAATTAGGTTAGACTGCAACTCTTAAATGCCCACTTGTTAAATGATGCATTAAACAGAGTGAAAGCCTGTTAAATTCTTGCTCTGTAATTCATACCAGCTGCTAGTAAATGTCTGAGGTGGAGCTGAAGGTGTTGGGATTTACCTGAATGGTTTAGGATCTTATTGTCTGTGACTCTGCCTTCCTTCCTATGCAATAGCTCCACTGTTGCAATGAATAACAATGCCTGAGGAAAAAAAGACCTATCTTACAAGCTAAGAGACTACTTATAGGGCATTTTAGTCAAAACTCTTTGAAGAATCGCCTTTTGGCCCAACAAAGCTTGAAATGTTTATTCGGCCAGCCACACTACTAAGCCCATCTGTTTTACCTTTTGGCCATTTGGGAAGGGGGTCTGTTGATAGATTCTAGAGATGAAAGTCTAGAAGGGACTATTAGTTTGACCTCCTGTAGGTACTGTGTAATTTTGATGGCTCTTTTTGCACTCTCTCCCATTTTTCAACATTCTTTTTAAAAGGTAGACACCAGAACCCTGAAAAATATTCCAGTATCACTCTCAGCACTAGTGTATGCCAAGTTAATATCATCTCTCTACTCTTGACTCGCTGCTCCCCATTTATACATCTGTGGATTGCATTACCCCTTTATCCCATAGGATTGCCTGGAAGCTCTCATTGATGTGACTATGCACTATCACCCCTAAATCATTTTCACAGTCACTGTTCTCCAGGATACATTCTTCCATGCTGTATATACGGCACGTATTCCTCCTTCCTTGATGTATACAACTTTTCATTTGGCTGTATTAAAACACAATTTGTTTGAATGGGCACTGGTTCCCAAGCAATCCAGACTGTGTTATGCATGGGCATCTGGTAGCCTAGTCAGAGAAAGGCTTTGCCTTCCCAAACTGCCAGGCGTGGCCCTGCTCACACTCGGCCCCCTGAATGCCTGCTGTAGGCGTTCAGAGGGCAGAGTGTTGCTGCCCCCAGCACCTACACTCCCCAATGCTCCAGGGGCAGGGAAAGCTATAGACACACAGCCCTCTCCCTCCCTGGAGCTCTGGGCATGCTGCCCCATCTCCTACACTTCTCCCTGTGGTAATGGGGGGCAGGGCAATACTGCACTGACTGCCCATAGTGTTATGTAAATATCCTGTCTTCATTACTAAATATCGCTCCCTATTAATCTGTGTCACCTGCAAATTTTTTCAGTAACGACTTTAAATTTATTTTCAGATCACTGATAACGTTTAATAGAATTGTGGCTTGAACGAATCCTTGCCAAATTCCAATAGAAACACCACCTTTCAACGTGGATCCCCCACTGACATCTACTTTTTTGAGATGTCCGTTAACTAGTTCTTAATCCATTTAACCCAGGAGTGGGCAATAATTTTTGATGGGGGGGGGAGGGCACTTCAAGATTTTGGTAAGCAGTCAATGGTTGTACTTTTCTATGGAGGGAGGATGGTGTCTGAGATTGAGGTTGGGTGAAGAAGGGAGCTTGGGGTAGGGAATAGGGTTGCAGGAGATGGTGTGGGGTCCGAGAGGGAGTTTGGATGATGGGGGGGGGGGGAGGTGGGGAATGTAACCCAGGGCAGGAGATTGGGGTATTGGAGGGAATAGATTCTATCCTAGGGTAGGAGTGTAAGAGGGGGTGCAGTGTCTCAGAAGGAGCTGTGACCTGAGAAATGGAGGGGTGCAGAGGGTTTGGGTGGGAACCTGGGGCATTAGAAGGTGGTGACCTTAGGCAGGGAGTTGGGGCTTGGGACAGGGTGGGGTGTCAGAGGCAGCTCTGACTGGAAGGCACTTAACTAGGCAGCTTCTGGCCAGCAGCCCAGAGGGCCACTTAGGCAGACTCCCTGACTACGGCAACCTCAGACCACTGAGGCAACCTCAGCAAGCAGCTCTCAGTATGGAGGCTAATGTGAGAGCTCTTGAGAAGACCAAGTCTGTAGGACAGTGAGACCAATTTGCTGCATGCATCACCATGGGGGGAAGGGGACAGTTATGGCATAGTGAGTGGAAAAGGTATGGAAGGAGGATCCAGTAGCTGCCTGTCATATCTCTTGCCAAGGAGCAGCCACAAGAAAAACCACCTGTGCAGAGTGGGCTGTGACTACTGTTGGATGGAAGCAATGGGAGATCCACTTGGAGCAGTGTTAAGAAGAAACAGTGCTCTGCGATGGCACTGAAGAGCCGGGGAGATGCTTGGAAGTTGTAGGTGGAGTGTAGATAAAAGGCTAACACTCTACAGACATCGAGGGAGTGGAATGCATACTCCACAGGGGAGGCATGTGGCTTAAGTACAAGAATGGAAGGTATATAATCTGGTTGAGAAACTTTTCTTTATGCACCCTCTCCACACCACTTGTGCTTTTATAGACCTCTATCATATCCCCTCTCAGTCTCCTCTTTTCTAAGCTGAAAAGTCCCAGTCTCTTTAGCCTCTCTTCATATGGGACCTGCTCCAAACCCCTGTTCCAGCATTACCTCCCTCAACCATGTTAGGTCAGATGAGAAGTTGTGCATAGCTGGGGATGTTCCTGCTTCTAAGAGTGCTTGTGTGGAGCATCACCTCAAACCTGTTGTATGCCACCAGTCTAGTCTTCTGCTCTGGCACCTGGGCCATCTCCCTCACTGCTGTCAATACTGACAAGACCCTCCAGCCGGTCACGCACGTTCCAGGATGCTTAGCTCCACTGACACTGTTGGTGGAGTTCATGCTGCCTTACACTGCCTCTCACCTGCGACCTGTGCTCCGGACCACCACCTCTTCCTAGACTCCCCTATTCAGGGGATAAGACCCTTGTTCCCCATCCTTCACTGACTCTGGTGATGTATGAGCCCCTTCTACTTATTGGCCATCCTCTCGAACCTCATCTTGTACCAATGGTTGTGCTGGCACCAATGAGCCCACTTCTACTGGATCCTTCTTCAGAATCTGGATCCTTCTTCAGAATCTAAGTGATACTCTGACCTGGACATAACTTTCTCTCCTGTCTAGTCCTACAGCCCAAACTCTTGGCACTAGTCCCATGGTTTTGCTATCTTTGGGCACCACTGATGCCTGGCAATCCCTATGCCTGGCCCAACTGGCCTACTTGGGACCCTTACCGTGATTGCATCACTGCCCGTCTCTTACCTATTCCACCACCTTCCATGAGGAGCCTCTGGATCCTCCTGCTGTGTCTAGCTGACAACCATGCTCAGTACCAGAGCTTGTGTTGTCACATGGCTGCTGAGCTTAATTTTCTACTTGAGGATGTTCAGGACTCCCGGGCCAAATCCTTGACATTCTCAAGTCTTTGGGGCCTTTCTGTACCGCTGTGCTCATCCACAAAGCCATCTTATAGCCAGCCTTCTGTGCCTCTAAGTTGAAGTGGGTGGAATGTCCCTAATTTGTGCTTTCTATGGGTATGGACTTTCTCTTTACCCACCCTCTGCCCAACTCCCTTCTAGTCCATGTGGCCACTGAACATACCCATCAGCAGCACTTTAAATCCACCCTTCCTGACCATACTCTCAGAAGTTGGAATTCCTGGACCTTGAGATACTTGTCTGTAGGTCTATAATTCCTCATAGCCTGGTAGCTGGCAATCCTTGCAAAGTATGATCTCCTGTTCTGTTTCAAGCTGGTGGACTTTCAGGACTCTTTGCTTCTGGTAAAGCAATGTGATTTGCAGCATCTGTTGGATAAGGGCAAAGCTGCTGGACAAGGTAGCTGATGTTGATGCTCTCAACTCTGTGTCATGCTCTTCGGCATTCAGAGTGATGTTCCATCATGACTCTTGACTCCAGCTTAGCGATTTCCTTAAGGAGGTCCAGACAACACTTGTGGATCCACCCTCTGACAATCATAAGCTATTTAGTGACAAGACAGATGAGTCTCTCCTCTCGCTTAAGAGCTCCCATGCCACCCACTAGGCATTTAGACTTTGGCCCTAACCCACTGACAGCAACTCGTGTCCTTCTATTCTCTCCCTTTTGCCACTTATCCTTCAACAGCCACCTGATCAACCTCACTTCCCCCACATCCAGCAACTTC